CCTTTGACCAGAAGGATTTAGCAGTCTTGCTGGATTTTCTATACATGAATTCCCAAACTTTGGTCAGACCATCTTATCTAAATTTGGGGATTGAAGGCCAGGATCTTGCAGGGGTGAGCATGGCGCTGCTTGGTGGCCCCGCAGCAGGAAGTGTGCGTGTCCTCCCGCCACACATGTGTCAGAACATCAGCTTAGGTTTGGGTGAAAAACACGTCCCTTGAGTTTCTTTTTTAACCAATTTTTGTGGCTCTCAGCTGAAAACATCCTGCTTTGATGTGTGATGTTGGCTCCCTAGTCTGTCCTGTCTTTCTCTTTCTTCCTCTTTCTTCCTCCTCTTCCTCCTCCTCTTGCCTCACGAGCGGACCTGATGTAAATGCATCGGGTCTTGATTTTGAAAAGGGAAAAAAAACGGCAGCCTGAGGGGCATTTCAGTCTGGGACGTCAACCTGCACATTTAATGTGAAATGTGAACACAGACCAGGGGACTGTACGTGGTTCTAAGTGACAGCGCTCCCTCGACCCAGGTGATTTCTCGTACGGTCAGATACCTCCCTTGGAACTGCACAAAGTTCGGATAAAAAACGCACCTCGTTTGTGAGCACGTGGTCCCACCGTGGAAATGTCACAGCTGGTGGTCACACCAGCCATGTGGACTCTGCTCGAGAAGTAAGCTGGCCACTCTCTTTGCAAAAGATCTCTTGATTCTAGTGAAATGGCAGGTTATTTCCCTCCTGAGCAAAAATACCGACAGTGGAAAAAAATTCCAGAGGTGTCTGCTCCTGTTTATCAAATATCGGATTGTGGCTGCGTGGCTGGCGGGGGCCTGGGTCCAATCTCAACAGCTGCAGGGTGTCTCCCTCCCCGCCCGCCCTCCTGCGCGTCCACATTTCCTATCAGCTCTGCCACCTGCACCCCCTGGTTCTACCTCTTCACGGAAGCCCACACCGATAGGGTTACTGGGAAACAAGTCAGGTGGGTGTGTCCCGAGTCGTGCTTGCAAGTCACAACAAAGACTTCATAGCCTCTTCTGCATCCAGTCAGATCTCCGTCCCAGCTATCCACGGTTTGACACAAGCCTGTGACTGCGTGGCTGAAACACACCCGGGTGCTGGAAGGGCTGGACGACACGGGCGGGGCGGGGCACTCGGGGGTCTGCCTGCCCGCGGGGTTGCAGACGCCCCTGCTTGTTCTTCTTTCGCCCACTCCAGACCACGTGGTTACAGCTGACGGACCTCTAACGCAAGTGTTCTTAGACCTCTGTGATTGACTCCCAGTTTCAATATTCGTCAGCGTCCCCATTGCCGGGATTAAGGCGATGTCTGTTCAACCTGTGAAAAGAAATTGCAAAGGAAATGAGTTGTGTGGTCAAGATGGTGGGGGGACGCATGGGGTCTGGGGAAGACTGTCTCCACTCCACGCAGTGGCAGTGACAGCGTGCATGCCGAGAGTCCATGGGCGTCGAAAAAAAAAGAAAAAAAAAGCACGTTTCTGTACATTAAGCAGGTCCTGGGAGGACCTCTGCCAGGCAAGCCTTTGATAGCGTTTTCTCTGAGTTCTCTTTCTACAGGAATATTCAAATGCTGCCTTGTGAAAATATGTATTGTTTTCAATGAAGCATCAGTTAGAATAAATCCCTGTGCTGGATGCCTTCGGGGGCAGAATCAGCAACCAGAAGCGCTTCAAGGAGGCGACAGTGTGAAGAAGAAAGGCATGCGAGCAAGACGAGGATGACACCAGCCGGAAACGGGTGCCTCACAAGAGACGCGGGGAGGGCGGAAGACGCTTCCAGCCTGGAGGGACCGCGCTTTGTAGAGACAGTGGCCTGGGCGTCTCCCCGGTGGCTCAGCTTCCCTGTAATCAGGTCTCAGCGGGGCTTCGAAAGAGCTTTGTTTACTAAACACTTAGTCCTCAAAAAAGTTTCGAAGGAAGAGACCCTATAGTTTCTCTCCATCTGCTTTAATTAGCTCCACTGGTTAGAAATCAAGGCACAATTTTATAAGTTTTTTGAGACTGAGGGCTGTTCATCAAATGACGTGTTATTGACAGTTTGCATAATCCAGATCTGAGCGTCCTCCTGGTGCGGCATGTGCCCCCGCACAGAATCAAGGAGGAACGTGGTTTTTACGGGGCTGTCTTGTCGATGCTGGGAGGATGCTGGGCTGAGCAGGTGCTCCTGCCGGCGGGGGAGGCTCGGCGATACCTAGTGCAGATGCATGGTGCGCAGCGCGCGGAGAGGAGGTCAAAGGGCAGATTTTTCTTGTCTTGCCATAAAATATGGGTTTTATTTCCCAGTATGTATCTCCTGTCACTGGGGCCAACTGTCTGAACAACGGAGTGTTAACGTCCCCCTTGCTTGGCTGATGACCGTGACCGGGGTCCCAGGCTGCGTGGCGTCAGCTGTGCTGTCCTCGTGGCTTCTTCTCGATGTCACCCCTGAGGGGCTCGGCCCAGGCGGGCTCACAGAGGTGGTTGTAGCCGCATGTCTCACGGTCACCGAGGATGGCTGGGCTGGCTGCTCCTGCTCCCCTAGCCGCCAGCGGGGAGGTGGGGGCACCGTCACGGGGAAGGCTCCCACCACTCCCGCCCCCACGTGCTGGGCAGCAACAGGCCGCCAGGTGGGCTCCCCAGGCGGGCTGGCGTGTCCGCGAGGTAGCTCACAGAAGGGCCCGAGAGTGCCCATCCTGCTCCGGACGAGCACCAAGGATTGATGCTCGCGAGCCAGCGCCCGGGCTCATTTCTGCCCGACTGGCGCTTTGTCCACCCTGGGGTGGCGGCTCTGCTTCCTGTGCGGGGAAGTCCCCTGTTTACGCCTCGCAGGATGATTTCGGCCAGGCCACCTCTCGCCACCCCCACCATGGCCTCTGATCTCCTGACTCATGCCTGCTGCTCAGTAACTGTGCCCGGTGAACCGGCAGGGACCACGCATGCTGTGTCCTCTGACACGGAACCAAACGGAAGGTGCTGGAAATCACCACTGCTGGAGTTCTGTAATCACAGAGTTCTGCTCTGTAATTCAGCCAACTGCTTACTCCAGTGGACTCCAGCAAGGTCAGGTGGGGACTCTGGGGGCTCTTTGCTTCCTGGAAGAGGAGGATTTCAGTTTCTCAAAGACTTGGCTTGAAAACAGCACCTTCTTGGTGTCGGGCAGGACCCTGCCAAAACCAAGCCTGGGAAGACGCGAGAGTGGGACGTCCCCTCTTCAGAAAGGGCGCCGCCTGACCTGGAGTCTCTGCTGGCGTCCGGCGGCCCCGCGGAAACGCACTGAGCGCCGCTGGTGTGTCCTGAGGGTCGGCTGCTCAGGCAGCGAGGCCGGAGGTGGGAAGAGGCGGGGAAGGCGGTGGTTTTCCCGCACGGATCCAAGGCCCCGCGGGCAGAGCCGGGCGCAGCCATGTGATGCCAGTGCCCGAGTGGGCTGGGATTTGTTTGGGTTAGTAAACCCTCTTCTCTGCTTTCACACGGGGACCTAAAGAGAGATATCATCCCCCAGAGTGCCTTAAGGCGTTTGTTTAAACCAAGCTTCCTTCGGGCTGAGTCTCCCCGAGACCTTCAGAGAGCCAGCCGGGTCCCTGAGCGGAAGGACCCTCCTCAGGTGAGGGGCTTCCGAAAGCCGTGCTTGGGTGGCCCAGGCAGGCTGTTCGACGATAGTTTGTGGTCTGGGTCATTGTATTTTTATTATGTTCATAAAAATCTGTGTTTCTCCTCATTTTTGTGATGGCTCCAGTGAGCGTCTCCTCCTTGTGAAGGCGCATTAAATTGTCATGTGCTGGAGGGACCCGTTAGTGGGGCGGATCTGAGGGGCTGAAAAGCTCAAAATGGGGTCCCTGCTTCAAATTCCCGTCTGGCTGGGTTTGCGCTGAGGAGAAGGAGATGTGTGGCCTGAACATCATTCATGCTGACGTGGGCTTTCTTGTCGACACTTCGGCAAGTCCCACGCAATTGTGGTATAAATGAAACGCAGTGAGGTGCCTTCTGAATGTTGACTGTTCCTGGCACGGGGGAGTATAAATCAATATCAAAAGAGGAAGATACCGCGCACGTCTGATTTTTTTAAGTGTGATTTAAAAGGGGGAACTTCGTAACAAGAACACGAAGAGAAAACGTTTTCTAGGTGAGATACGTGGATTTCTTTTAAATGAGACCTTCATTGGCTTGTTAAATCTGTATTTAGAAAGAAACAGACGCTCCCTTGGGCTCAAAATTTACATCCAGATGCAGTTGCTTACAGATGTTTCTGCGAAGGTAATGCGACCCACCACGGGAGGAGCAGACCCCTCCTCACGTGTAATTTAAAAAGCCAGCGAGCGCGTGGGCCGCACGGTCGTGCTGAGTCGCGTTTGAAGACAAGCCGGTTCCGGGGCTTCGGGCCTTTGTCGTCCCCGCACGTTTTCAGGGGACCGTTGCTTTCCTGTGTCCAGGAGCCGGCGCTGGTGTGGCCGTGACGAGGCACGTCATGTTTGCGTGTGTTTGCATCTGTTTGGGGAGAAGTAAATGAAACGCGGCTGGGGCGTCTCCCGCTCATGCCCTGGGGGAGGTCCTCTCAGAGCGCACTTCTGACAGGACAGCAGCCTCACTGCGCGAACGGTGGCCCTAGTCCCACGAAGTGACGACAGCACCTGAACAGTCAGCGTGTCCCGGCGTCCCGGCATGTCCCTGCCGGGTCAGCCCGCCCGCCGTGGGCCGCGCGCGCCCGCGCCCTGCCCCTGCTCTGTGCTGTGTTCCGGAAAGCCCCCTTGGCAGGTGAGAAGTGGGGCGGGCAGGCGGCGGAGCGCAGCGCCGGGGAGCTTTGAGAGGCGCGGCAGGAGTTCCCGAGGTTCTTCAAGGCGTTTTATGGCCCGTGCAGAACACGGGGCCAGCAGACTCAGGAGGCAGGCGGGGCGGCAGGGTGAACCGCGGAATGGAAATGAGCTACATTCCTGGGAACGGGGTCGACCTGGACTCTGAGTGCACAGACTCCATGGGTGCAGGGCGCAGCCACTCACGCTGGCGTCCTCGGTCCACAGATGGTGTGGGAGAGTGGCTGCGTGGTCATCGTCATGCTGACCCCCCTCTCGGAGAACGGCGTCAGGCAGTGCTACCACTACTGGCCGGATGAAGGCTCCAACCTCTACCACATCTACGAGGTACCGGCCCCAAAGGCGCCACGGGCCATGGGCCATGGCGGGTGCGGGTGGGCCTGCCCTGTGCAGATACTGGCTGCTGTCCCTTGAGGCCTCACCGGGCAGTCGGTGCCCACAGGAGGCATCCCCTCCCGCAGGCAGCAGACACCCAGACCCTCCAGGCAGCTGTGCCCCAGGGACTGGCAGAATGGCATGGGTTTCATTTTCAAGTTTTATGAATCTAAGTTCGGACAGAAAGGACCTCAAAAATGACCTCACTGGGTGGTCAGCTGAGCCCAGTTCTGGATAACAGGCCTCCGGTGACCCTAAGTCTTGGTGGCTGGCCCCCGCACCGGGCCCTCGAGGGTCGCGGGCGTCTGTGTTCGTGACGCTTGGCCCTTTACTTGGGGGTCACCTGCTGGGAGCTTGTTTCTCCTGGACTTTCTGTCCACGTCGAGAAGGGGCTAAATAAACCCGGCAGTTAAGCCAGTGCCCAGCGCCTCCTTTAGCCGTGTCGGGCTCTGAAATTAGTCAGAACGCCCAAGACCCACAGCAGAAACCTGGCTGGAAGCGTAGAGTCCTCCCCGAGTCGGCTGGGGCTTTCGGGTCCCTGCCCTGAGCTGGGAGCTTGTCTATGGTGAAGTCTCAGAGCGAGTGGGGCCCCGCTGGGTGGAACCCATTGCTGTTTCTGGTCAGAAGTGTAATTTTTCTCTGATGATTTTTCTTGAAGGTTTAAATGGCTTAGAAAAGACCAACACTAAATAGTTTCGGATTGTACCACTTTTTTCAATTAATTTTTCAAATAATTGGGCCCTCCAGTGACAAAAAAATTTAGAAAAATTTTAAAACATTTAAGAAAAAAATTTAATAAAAAAATTTTTTTTTAATTAAGAAAAACAACCAGGCAGCAATGGTTTGTGCACAACGTGTCATAGCTGGGAAGGTGGGCGCCCGCCTGCCGCTGCGGTCACGCCCACACCCCGCCCCCCTCCCCGCCCACTGGCTCCGTGGTGTTCGGGCTCCCAGCCAACGCCTGCCTCTGTCCCCGCCCCGCCCCTCCCCCAGGTGAACCTGGTCTCCGAGCACATCTGGTGCGAGGACTTCCTGGTGAGGAGCTTCTACCTGAAGAACCTGCGGACCAGTGAGACGCGCACCGTGAGCCAGTTCCACTTCCTGAGCTGGCACGACCAGGCCGTGCCGGCCTCCACGCGGTCCCTCCTGGACTTCCGCAGGTAAAACCCGCAGCCCGCTGGCCAGGGAGGCGTCCGGAGCGTGGGCACCAGGGGAGGGAGGGCCGCTCAGCGCCAGGGCTGCCGTGTCTGCGGTGCCAACGGCTGTGAGACGTGCATGTTGTAGATGCATTTATGTTTTATGCGGCAGAAGGGAGGGGAGTTACATTTAGTCACATACTAGTTGCAAGGTGTCTTCTAGCCTTCGCGGGGTTACAGAGTGAGGGGGACAGAGATCTTGGATCCGTGGGCCTTCAAGTGGTGACGTCACAGGATGTTAGTCTGGATACTCATCTGCTTAGACACGGCGGTGAGTTAGGTGTAGGCCCAGATTCTGAACTGGACGGTCTCGGATGAACGCCTGGCTGGAGTTAGCACGTGACCACGTAATTGCAGTGCAGTTTTGAAGCTGCCAGTTTAAAAACAGCCAGTCCTTCGTTCAAGCTCTAGTCAGCCGGTCGCCCATCAGGCCATGGTTTTAGAGTGTGTTGACTGAATAAATGCTAGGAGGATACTGACAACGCAAAAGGAAAAGCAGAGCGTAGGACAGAAGCTCTGCCTGCACGTCAGAGCTGGTGACGGCAGTCGGTGGGCGCTGGCTGTCGGTGGTGGTGGATGAACAAGCACCTGCCGAGAGAACGAAGCCGGTGAACCGCAAACGGCATGTGGAGCAGGCGCCGAGCTTTCTAGAGCCTCTCTCGTTTATCTGGTTGGAGACCCACCTAGGACGGGGAACAGATAAGTATTCAAACCAGGAATTCGAGAGTAAGGACAAAATGCACTTGAATCCCCTTAATTGCACGTGACCGTAAAGCGGTTTGTGTCTGAAGAGCCCGCAGTCCTGTAACCGGAGGGAGGCTGAACTGGCAGGAGTTGTCGGCAAGGTGGGGTTCCAGGCGTACCTGGGTTTCCTGAATTTGTGCCTCAGATTCTGAAAGTGATTCTGATGCCACCTCTTTTGCCTGTTAGTCCACTTTTGAAAAGCAAAACAATTTTTTTTAATTTGAGTAGCTCTTTGTGTCAAATAGCATGGGAAAGAGCTCCAGCAGAGACGAGCGTTTGTCACCCCTGTGACACAGCGTCCCCTCCCCAGGGGCACCGCACGGAGACCTGGACGCACCTGGAACAGGTCCTCCCTCATCCGTCCTGGTAGCCTGGCCATTATTTACGTTTTCTTAGTGCAAGTGTACTGCTAAAGACCTTACCTCGTCCACATCTCCCGAGATGGAGTCTTCAAACCACAGTCATTGCTGGCAAAGAGGGCGTAGCTGCCGGGCCGCGGCTTCCCCGTTCTCTTGGTCTTCACGCCCCGCTGGCGTGTCTGTACATGTGTGCGTGTGGGCGGGTCTGTCTCCACATCCCCACAGGGACGTGCACAACACAGAACCAGCCTCTGTGCTCGCAGTTCACCATGAAGAAACGTCGAATTCCCAAACCCCTCTGTGCAGAGTCCCAGGGGACAGGGCCCCAGAAGGCTGTGTCAGCTGAAAGGACGGTGAGCCCAGACAGGGCTGGGGCGTCCGTTAGAGCCAGCGCCTCCTGCCCTCACGTGGCGGCGAGGCCGTTCCCGCGGGCCCCGGACCCTGGGACAGCGCGTTCTCAGGGCCCGTGACGCTTACACACGGATTGCTGCTTTGGGATCTCCTCTGTACAACAGCGCCCAGGTGTCCGGAACCGGGAGGCGCGGCTGCCCCCGCGGAAGACGCTGGTCATTTCCACGCGACAGGGCTGCTCAGCCTCCTTGGAGCAGTAGACCAGCAGCCCCTGCTCCGGCTTGTGTGTTCCTCAGACACCGAGATGTGTAATTAAATCTTCCTGGCGCCCAGAGGGAGCACATTTACACTTTAAAGAGAAGCTGCTAAGCTAAGAGATAATTAGCATCACATGTTGAGGTCTTTGCTGCAGAAGAGCTCCCTCTCTCTCTCTCCCTCTTTCTCTCTCTTTCTCTCCATCCTCTGTGCTGCTCATGTCCGCTGTGCGCAATGACACCACTAACGCTGCTCACTGTAAGAGTGGACAAATCCTTACTTTGCCAGCTAATTAGCGGTGGCCAGTGTCATTTTTGTGATGTTGCAGCTAGTAATATGAGCCCAGTTGCATAGTCACAAAAGTGATCATTGGAAACTGTGACTGTACTGCAGGGACAGTGTGGGAAGCCCCTTTCTGAGCCTCTAACGACCTCTGAGCCCTGCTTGCGGTTGGTTGCACGGCGGTTCCTTCTCACTCAGTGCCCGGCGGGTCGGTTTGTATCACTAACCGTTCTTTCTCAGTGCGTTCCTCCTGTGGAGTGTATACGACATCCGTGTCCTCGGTGTCCACGGCCTTTTGCTTCCTGTTGATTTGTTCTAGAAAAAGTAAAATAAGACCGCTGTGCACCGCTCATCTTCACCAATCGTGTGCACCACTCCCTCGGGTCAACCAGATGGACGCCTCTGCTGACTCTGCGGTGCCCCTGCCCCCTGACCTGGTGCTCTGTGTTGTGATGATGCGAGTGTTTGGCCCTCTGTGAATAAACTTCTCCACCGCAGCAGCACACATGTCTTCACTGCGCGTCTCCTCGACTGCCTGGGGCTGCTTGTAAATAGGGTTAGCACAGGGCGGGGCCGGCTTGGACACTGACATTACAGTGAAACCTTCCTTGGTCCTGCCCAGGCACAGCCCTGCTGGAGACAGTCATGTTTTAGACGTGCCGTAGAGACAGGAATTGCAGGACTGAGAGGCAAGGCACAGCCAAGGCAGCCAGCAGGTCGCCTGTTAGCAGCACGTCTCAGCCAAGGAGGTTATTCTTGCTGCATTTTGTCAAAGCAGGGCCTGGCCGGTGTAGATGGAGCACTTCTGCCTGCCGACTCCTTCCATTCTTGTTTCCTGAAAGCAGGACCATTTAAAGAAGGGTCTCTGGTTGGTATGTTTATTCTTTTTTAACATACCTTTTCTGTGCTTGGTCCCATCAAAAAAAAAAAAAAGAGAGAGCAAAACTTAGCAATTGACCAAAAGTCGAGTTCAGTCTTTAGAAACGCAGGCCAGACCATCAGGCCGGGAGCACCGACATGCCGAATTTGCGGAGCCGAGGCGGCCCCCACTGCAAAGACTCAGCGACTGAGAGCTTCCCCGGCAGCACACGGCTGGGAGGTGCGGAGCCGCCAGCTCTGGCCTGACGGGTGAGCTCACGCAGCCCTAGTGCACGCACGCGCGCCTGTGCACCTGCCGGGACACAGCGCACGTCTGCACACTTGCATGCGCACGGCCTTCACTGAGCTGGCGGGCGCCCCGCCGCGCACATGGGAGGCTCGTCCTCTGGCCTGGCACCTATTTGTCGGAACTGAAGCTCACGTTGCCTTGACAACCCGAGTCGAGAACAGGAGATTTGAGGAGGAGGAGGAGCAAGCGGGTCTATTTTCCGATCTGTTTCATCCTCAAAGGGCAGGGAAGGCTGAGGGCATTCAGGCACTGACGTGCCTTCGACTTTAATAAGCCCACCTTCCTCTGCTCACCTCCCCTGAACCTTAATATCGGGGTGCACGTCAAAAACAAGGCCAGGCTCCGGCAGGAACGGCGACGTGGCCTCGGGGGCCTGTGCTGCCCGTGTTCTGGGTGCTCACCCCCCAGCTCTTCGAGGCCCACAGCTTCCATGTTGGGTTTAGACCCGGGGCATACAGGGCTTGTGCTGCCCTGCTGGGCCTGGGTGGGGCGCTCCTCAGGTGCCTCCCGCCACCCACCTTGTGGTGCTCAGGGGGACGGGGGCTCCCTGCAGCGGGACCTCATTCTGTTCGCTCCACAGCAGAAGCAGGAAAGCAGAACAACCCCGTCGCCGGGCTCCACACCGGCCACACCCCCTCTGCTCGCCAGTCAGCTCCTGCTCCGCCTCCCCGCCCCGCCTCCTTTTCCCCTCGGCTTTTAGGCATTTGTAGCAGAAAAGCTGGCCAGCTGGACTTTCACTATCAACGGACTGTTCTGTGCTGAGCAGGCGAGCCTCTGCAGAGAGCTGTGGCCGTCCCGCTTCCGGCTGGGGACGGAGTCCTCTGCTCTGTCACTCTATTCCAAATTTTGCTTCACGTCATTTTGTGGAAATTCATACCACACATTTTAGGGCACACCCTTCATGCATTTTCCCTTCCAATTAACCAAAATTCTGTCTTTGATTTTCTTTATTTAGAAATACTTCACTGTGAATTTTGATACACTTTGTCAACCTGTTTATTTGTTTCACTGAATGACCAAAAATGTCAAGCTTATACAGTGAATTTTAAATCGGCGCTGCTTTGATTGAGGACTCGGTTACAGAACCTTCCTCTATGCTGATTGTTCGTTTTCATAAACTCTGATCTAAAGTCTGCACCACAGAGTTGCTTTTGAACATGATCAAATTCATGAAAATAGAAAGACTCGTCTTGGGTGTAACTGCGGTCTCTCTGTGATTTAGATATCCTTGCAAAACTGACCGACCAAAAAGTGTCTGTGAGATGCTTTGCGAGATACCAAGGTGATACTACGTTCCAGGGTGCTGCCCAGTCTGTAAAAAATCTGGAGCAGAAATGGCAAAACCAGAACTTTCAGTGAGGCATCTAGACGTTTTGCAGCAGCAGCAAGGACGCCACATGAGCTGAAGCAGCACGGGGCGTGGGGGAGGGCAGGGCAGGGCCAGCCAGGCTGGGGGGGAGGGCCACGGACCTCAGGCCAGAGCTCACACCTGTAAAGGGAGAAGGAACACTGTGAAAATGTGAGGAATGTTTCAAAGGTCTGTTGAACGACTTAACCTTGAAAAGAAAAATAAACCTTTGAAAACGCGTGTGTAATTCTGATTTCCTTTGTCAAAACGGGCTGTGGCAAAAGGACGTCCCGGAGCTGTTCTGTTTGTTCTTTGGGGTGGTGGCCACAAGAGGCAGAGTGCATAACTGTAACTTCTCCGTCTCTCTTTATTTCAGAAAAGTAAACAAGTGCTACAGGGGCCGTTCTTGTCCAATAATTGTCCACTGCAGGCAAGTACAACTTTTAACCTGGTTTCAGAAGTGTTCGCTACCTCAGAACAAACACGGTTAAATCTAGGAGCTGAGCTCCCTTGTTGCGTAGTGCCCACCTCTGACTGCACCTCTAGGGGAAGCCAGGGACACAAACTCATTCAAGCCAGGTTTCGAACCCTCACAGCACCACCACACACACTCTGAGACGGAGTGTTTGTGCAGGGCGGGGTCTCGGCACCAGCGACGTGGCCAGCATTCGGGACCCCGTGTGGATGCTCAGCTGGGGCCCGTCATGAGCAGGGACACAGCCTGGGGTCACAAGGAGAGTCCTCTGGGTGAAAGTCAGCGGCTCATGCACTCACACGGGTTACTCCCAACCTGGAAGAACTGATCCAGTCAAAGAAAACTCGTGCTGAGGGCCGCGCCCCTGGGCTCCACACTCGCCCGTCTCGGGGAGGACCTGTGCGCCATCATCTAGACCTGCCTCCCAGAATATTCCTTTCAGCCTGGGATAAAAAGGAACTAGATCTCCCAAGGCCCGACACCAAGTCCATCCATTCAGTCAAGAAGTGCACACGTGTGCCTGTGAGTGTGTGTCTGCTTGTGTGGGTGTGTCTGAGTCTGTGTGTGCGTGTGTGTGTTTCCGTGTCGGTCTGTGACAGCAGAGGATGGTCCCCCTGGAAAGAGTGGACTAAAGCATCTTTCACCCGTAAACGGAGCCCAGCCGGGAGCAGGGAGGCAGCGGTCTCCGCAGTGGATCTGGGGAGAGTCGTGCTTTGTGAGTTAACAAGCACAGAAGAAAAGCAAGGAAGCCCTTGACACCAGGAGCGAGACCGCAGGCACTTGTGACAGCGGCGAGGGCCGGCCTGGCTGCAGCCCCACCGCCACAGCACACAGGTGGAATGAGTCTCTTTCCAACCACAGCTTTTCCAACCATTTGTTTGAGAAATGTGTTGAGGCCAAACTCAGCGGCCCTTCTGGAGAAAGTCAGCCTGCAGGCGCGCCGACAGGGACGGGTCCTCGGGCCTCCAGATCGGAAGCTCAGAGCACACTCGTGCGGTCACAGGGCTCCCGGCGTCCTGAAAGGGAACTCTCATTTTCTCCTGAAGTCGGAGGATTTTGCCAAGGGTACAAATGTCAGCGTCCTGCACTTCCAAGCGCTCGTGGGCACGAGCCCAGCCCTGCTTGACAAGGGGCGGCCGAGTGACGAAACGTGCGCGGAAACGGCGCTGGGGCCACCTTCCTCCCGGAAGAGGACTCTTCCTTTCTCGCATTTGTGATTCTTGAGCCACAATTAAGAACACGTTTACAACTCTGGTCCAGATGGTAAATATCCAGTTATAACCAGGGGACAAGAAGACGTGCACCAGACAACGTGTCGGCCCCGCTCCTGAGTGGGGGCCGGGTGCCCCCCAGGGTCCTGGATCCCGACCCCGGCCGTTCACTCTCCCCTGGCACACATGGCCTCTTGCAGATGCTCGGAACACAAGTGCCTCACCTCTGACACAGCCGGGCATTTCTTTATTTCGTTTTTTTTCCTGATAAAATTTGCCATGTCAAAATTGGCCGAAGGGGGAGGGAAAAAAGGCAGAAAGAAACAAATCAGCACAGGCACAATAGCTAATCCGCACTGCTGTTAGCTCAGGGCTGAAAGCTCTCCCAGCCCCCTCCCCCTCCTCCCGCTCTTCCCCTCCCCCTC